GGCCTTAGCAATAGAAATTTCGGGCTCAATTGAGGTCGTAAATCGAGGACTAGCTGTACATTCCATTCCTTCTGAAATACAGCTTTCGAAAGTACGTGTTTTTCATTCTTTTTGAAATGTAGATTTCAAAAGAATGCATAACGGGAGTGTTTTTTTAAATTCAAAATGCCCCTAGAGATGAATTGAGATGAATGGTTAGAACTTACTTTGCATCATTGTGTAATTAGTCTCTGAATCCAACATGAGAAAAGGACAGCTTTCCAAATCTCCTTTCAACACCTCTGTTGGTAACAGATCAGTGGCAGGGGGAGTGATCTGAGCCACATTTTCTTCCATGTCCAAAACGCAGAAAAGGCACACCGGGGGCGTAACACCAGGCCCTCTGGGGAAGAAGTCGTCTTCATTCTTCAGGTAACTCCTCAGCGCCCCGCTGTGGTGAGACGCCCGTTCACAGGACCAGGCCCAGTGAGAGGGCTCTCTCAGCATTATCTCATCACAACATCGCTGGCTAACAAACGCTCTGTACTTCATTTTAGCCCAAAAGCCATCTCTCATTTTTAAGAATTGTGGAAATAGTTTCCTCCAGTTGTCGCCAAGGGCCCAGGGGAAGATTTCATATTTATAGTCTTCCGTGTCTTCTTCCATGTCATTGGCTAAGTACCTATAATTAGGACAGAGAGATGTTGGAAGCAGGGAAAGCCGCCGGGATTCCTTCGGTGACATAATACTGCATAATTTTTTCAAGAAAAGCTGAGTCACTTTCTCAGTTTGAAATACACCCCTTTTTACAACTGCACAAAGTTATAATAGTCAGAGTAGAAACTCAGATTTTGTTCACATTCAAGGACAGCTTGGAGCATGGGAATAAGATAGTGGATCACCTATCTTCCACTTGTAATAACAGCTTAAATAAGTACCAAGGAGAACCCCACCCCACAATGACGGAAAGTACTGTACATAAACAGAAAACAAATCCCACTTCCTTTTTCCACTGAAGATGTTACCTAATTGGTAATAAAACATCTAAGAACAAACAACCAAGTTCCGAGCAATCAGGGATTCCACAATTCAACTCTTAAGCTACAGATACCCTCTACTATTAGCGTACCAAATGGTTTATGTCAATATAATGCAGCAAATGTTTTCCATTTGTACAGTATGTACTTTGCTCTACATCATCTAAAGATTGCTTATGAATTATTTCTGAATAAGAATGTGAAGTCAACAGCCTGAGCCAAACATTTTGGAAGTGTTTAAAGCAAAACAAATGAATAACTATAGGACAAATGTGAAGCTCGAAAGATAACTGTGCCACTTACAGAGCTATGAAGAAATTGATCCGTGTATATTCTTTTGTCTGTAGGCCAGCTCGTTTAAAGTACATCATAGTCATGGCTATAAGATACTGAATGAAAAAGTGAGTTTTAATATTTTTAAAGACTGGAATGGGGACAGGGAAGGAAAAAAATCATCCTAAGTACATGCATAGAAACAGAACTGAAGAGCCAAAATACCACCTGCTTTTGTTAGGAAAGCCATTATTGCTCTGTGGATTTCGAGATGAGGGTTTAATAGTCAAATTACCCTGATATCACAGAAGGTTATTGAAAAGGAAAACTAAGTGGCAGCTTGCCAGCTAAGCCCTCCCTAGTAGGCTGTTTTTTTTATTTCCTTTTCTAAAGAAAACCATTAAGAACACAAAAGTCACGGAAAAACCCAACAACATGTTTTCAGTTATAGCATCAGGAGCTCTGCATTGGGAAACCTCTTCTCTTGAATGGTTGAGTTTGGGTTGCTAAATAACATTATCATTGTAATGTAAATGTTATGTAAACAATTAAGCATGCTGTTGCAATGCTGCTTCCTGGTGCCAATGCAAAACACGGAAAAACTGCCATTGTGAATTTAAATCCAAACTAAGGATATCACTATTGTTAGCTGGTTTCATTCCTACAGCAGGACTAGAACTCACGGTCTATTGAATTTGATGCCTTTACCACTAACCAACTGGCTTTAGTTTTGGGTTACCAGTGTCCAATTTAAGAACAGGGTTTTATTTCTGACATGCTTCTAACTATGATCAGTACAGCTATAAAACAATTCTCACACTATATTGCAATTACTCTTTACATAATATAAACAAGGAGCTTCTACATTAAAAAAGAAAACAGAATATAATAACCCTTCCTTGATATATAGGTAGCCCTCAACTTACAATTGCGCCTAACATTTCTGTTGATGAACAAGATAGGTAGATGAGTTTTGCCCCATTTTACCACCTTACTTTCCACCGTTGTTAAGTGAATCATTGCAGCTGTTATGTTAGTAACACAGTTCAGTGGATCTAGCTTCCCCATTGAGTTTGCTTGTCAGAAGGTTGCAAGAGGTGATCACGTGATCCTGGGACACTGCAGCAGTCATAAGTATGACAGTTGGGAAGCGTCTGAATTTAGGCCATGTGATAAGGGGGATGCTGCCACACCATGCCACAGACTTAAATATGAAACACGGTCATAAGTCACTTTTTCAGTGCCCTTGTAACTTCGGTTACTAAATAATGATTGTAAGTTGGGCTCTACCTGCATTTGTTTAGGTGGGGGAGGCGTTTTGGAGGAACAGAATGTATAAAGAAAAGAGATAACCAATATAACCTATTTTTCTGGAAACTGGAACAATATACACTGGAAAATGGAGGCAATCATCATTTTATCCATTCTGCTGAAAATTGTTTTTGTTTTTTTAACAACAGCTGTTAAGTCTCTTATGAAAACAAATAAAAGCCTATTCTGGAACACCCTGTCTTATTTGTGTGAAAAGTAAGCTTCCAATATTGTCAATTAAAATCGAGTTGTAAAACTACAATATTGATCTAATACTGGAAGTGTTGACACATTAACATAGCAGGAAGCATACCTTATCTGAGATTCTGTAACACGTGTCTGTGGACAGGAAGTCTTGTACCAAGCCATCCTCTGATGAGAAATAGAGGGACCCAATTTAAGCCATATAACAGACAAAGTTTAAATTTAGGTAACACAAAGTACCTTACAGTATTTTATGCTATTTTATAGCATCTGAAAAATATTAAATAAATCCAACTGTTGATCATAACGCACAATAAGAGCATGACATACTGTTACTATAGAATTTCCCATGCTAACGAAAAACAGGAAAAACTGGTGGAATTAAGAGATTCAATATATTAGCGCCACCCACCCACCCCCCAAAAAACAACCACATACAGCAATCACCCATTTTGAGTGGAAAAGAGGAGATCCAATATTTTCCTGGACATATTTTAAAATTTCATTAATCTTAATTTTTGTTAATTTCACATAAACATTCCCAGACATAGCTTTTAGTGATACCATCTCAAAGCTACCTATTCTAAAAAATATTTTGTCTTTCCCTAATCAACTTCAAATCAAAAATTTTGCAATTTTGCAATTCTGAAATGCGGATGTCTTAAATCAGCCAATCCATGATTTACTGGAAAAACACATCTCCCAAGGCCATAAACCAGAGGTTGGACAGCAATCATTTTGGATCCTATAAATCATTATGTGATTTTAATTAAAGATCCAACTGGTCTTCCATTAAATCCCATCACATATAAGTCTGTGTGATTGCATTTTTTATCATGGATTAGCTGATTTAAGTTCAGAATGGCAAAATGTTTGATTTTAAGTCAATTAGGGAAAAGCAAAATATTTTTAGAATATTTTAATGGGTGGGGGGGGAGAAATTTGAAGGCAAGGTTTGCAATCTATCAGGCACTGTGCTGCCATACAGAAAATTGGACAAATGACACACTGGTTAAATTTTATGTATCAATTAAATTAAAGGCTTCCTTTTGCAGGCCAGCTGTGCTTTGAATGCTGTCCATCTCTGCCCAAGCAGAGCTGAGGCCTAGCACAAGTAGATACAACTACTAGACCTAGGAGATTGAAGAATGCTTCTTGTTCTTCTCTGCGTAGCAGGAAAAATGGCTGCTGCGAAATTTTCAAGGTTGTCGTGGAAAATTCCCTCTCAAGCCCCTGTGTAGAACCACCAGTAACCAAAGCACCCTGCGTGCTGCGTTGCCGTGCGCTCCCTGGCTTCACTACAGCCGTGAGTGTAGGAGGAACACAAGTACTATGACTGTCTCGCATTTTTCTTTGAAGTGGTTGATAGTAGAGGCCTCAAAATGGCCTTCCTGGGAGGGGAAACACATTCATGCATCAAATGTAAAGCAGACACATTGAATATTAGTTTTTAGAAACTTTTCTTCCCAATACATTTAAACTCTTTCAAGACTCATCTAGCACTATAGTTAAATTACATTCCAATTTCTAACATCAGATTTACCCATGTTGTTTCTCCATCCCCCCAGCAGGAGAAATGAGAAAGTCTCAAAATAGCTACCTAAGGTTAAACTATTTGCTTAACACAAGATGCATATATTGCTGAAAAGACACAATTATTCCATATGTACTATACACCAAGCATTGGTGTATACTATTCTACAATATACTGAAATGCAATAAAAGACAAACTTATATTTTGGCCTTTAACCAATAAAAATGCAATGAATAAAATAAGCAGCATAAAGCTGTCCCCTAACAACAAAAACTATTAGCAACTACAGCCCATATTCTTCTCTATTGCCAGCTCTATAGTGACATTTGCCACCAGTCAATTGCCTGTCTTATTTAAATTTCTGCATTTTATCTGCATTGTTTCATAAATAAGATAAATTTATTTATCTAGCTGTAATAAATTTTTGCTACATTATGTTTAAGTTTGCCCACAAATGATCACTAACAGTTCTTGTTGTTAGGGGATAGTTTTGTATTGCTCATTTCATTGATTGTATTTTTACTGGTCAATGGTCTGTCTGAAACAAAAGCAACATTTCATTTAAAAAGACAGCTTATTTAAGGAGATTTCAAGACTCAAAAGCAATGTTGCAGCTATTCTGAATTTGTACAACCACAGCTTAATATTAGTGCTGAATTAACCCTACTATCCACTTAGACAAGATGTAAGTTGTGTACATATATATTTTGGTAAACTCCCAAGACACTTAAGTAAAATGGGCAGAATATAAATTTAAATAAATAAATAGGACACACACTGCACTAAGCAAGGATTTGCCCCAGCTGTGGTATAAATTATTCAACTGGCTTTATCAAACATTCTAGGCTACAAACCATAACTTAACCATAATGGTGACATTTATGGGCTAATCTAATTATATTACAGATTATCTAGGAAAGAGTAGTATTATTCCTATTTCATAACTCAATGTACATGGACAATACAGTATTCAAAAACACCTCCGAGTTTGTTTTGGATTATAAACTATAAAATCCCATCTAATTGTAGCCCTTAACACACTTTCTGGTGGAAATAAAGAGAACAGATTCATAACTTTGCCTGAAGCTCAATTAGATTTTTTTTTCATGCAATTTATAATACAAGAAGGATCTGTATGGAAGGGATTCCATAAAACACAGAAAATAGTTTGCTACCACCCCAAAATTCCCATATTAGTGTTTTATGCTTGGGGTTAAAATGGGTCCAAGCAGGACTCATCTGAAGTTATTCCCAATTAATATCTACATTTTACTTAACACATCATTTCTAACACCAGCAGATACAAATTAAGTATTGCATGGAGATGGTCAATTTTAAAGACACATTTTCATACTATTTCCAAACACTAAGCCTTTCAGAACTGGGATTATCTCCTAATCTTCAATCTTGCCACAGACAGAATCCCTGCCATTTTTTCCTCTTTTTTTTAAAATTCAAAGCCCGCTTGAATTCCTCCTAGTTATAAAAAAAAACATCCTTTGAGTTGCATTTCTCCCCCTTTTGAATAAAACCACAGCAGGTACAATTTCCTTTAGGGACTGCTTCTCTTGCTATCCTGACAGGACTGCAGAGTTTAGGGTGAGGGGAACCCCCCCCCCCCCTCAAAGATGCCTTATTTTGCTGTTTTCTGGGTTAAATTGAGCTTCAATTACCCCCACAACAAACACACACCCTCAAATGGGAGCGTATTCAACCAGGGTTTTTTTTCCATGCAAAAAGAGCAATGACTAATGTCAAGTCTCTGTGGAGAGCGCGAGATACACCAATAGAAGAGGAGGGGAAAATGGCCACGCTCCTCTTCCTTCTTCTTCTTCTTCCACCACCATTCCCCACCAAAGCCGTTTCCCGCCAAAATTTTCCCGCCCTTTTCACAGCGACACCCACCCAAAGAACAGAAGCAAAGGGGGCGGTTCGAAGAGCACCGCTAGCCTCGCCCACTTCTCCTCAGCGCTACCGTTTATAGGCTCGGCTGCCTCTCCGGCTGCACCAATCCCCGCGAAGAGGAGGCGGGGATAATTGGGATAAGTCTCCCTCTTGCCATTCGTCTCCCCCCTCCCTCCTACCCCCGTGTTTCGGGCGAGCTGTCAATCAAGCGTTGCTGACGTAGCTACTGCTTTGCTGGGAAAACTTTAAAAAAAGTTTGCAAAAGTTTTTTTTTTTAAAGGCCAAATTGTGCTTCGTTTTAGGACAGGTTTGCTTGCCAAGCCGGGAGAGCTTGTACATTTTTTCTTAATAGCAATAAAAAACTTATATACCTTTTCATAATAATTATATGGTACTTATTTGGGGCTACCAGGCAACCAGCGTCAGATGGCAAAGCTATCATTTTTAAACAATGTTACCTGTTCAAGTGCAATAGCAATAGCAATAGCAATAGCAGTTGAATTGAATTGAATTGTTTCTTATTTATAGGCCGCCCTTTTCCCTGAGGGGACTCAGGGCGGCTTACAATTCATGGGAAGGGGAGTGCAAGACAATACAACACAATACGTGAATAAACAAAATAATAACAATAAAACACAACAGTCATTCAACATTCGGGTGGGGCGGCGTAATCCTTATCCCCAGGCCTGACGGGATAGCCAGATCTTAAGGGCTGTGCGGAAGGTCTGGACGGTGGTGAGGGTACGAATCTCCACGGGGAGATCGTTCCAAACCCACCACTGATCGGTAAATACCACCTCTGATTAGCCCCATCTATTTTCTGCCTCCCAAGTCCCAGCTCATTGGAAGGGAATGGAGATTTTACAGTATCCTTCCCCTGCCATGCCCACCAAGCCATGCCACGCCCATTTAATGTTTAGTAAAAAAATTTGAATCCCACCACTGGGCTGGACCGTGGTCAATTCACAAACCATTTGTTGAC